CATCACTATTCCTTGCTTGTTCTTGTAACTCTGCCTTTTGTACATAGTCCCTTCATTAAGTTCTCTTCAGTTAGAGCTTGGAGTGTGCCACCTGTTTACTGCCAGGACCCTGACTGATTAAATAAAAATCATCTCTGAGGACAGATCCCTTGAAAAGTCACAAGGACTAAGCCACAGAGGCTCACGTGCAGATCTTCATAGGGCATCCTTCTCATACAGATAGGTGTAAGCACAGAACTTAAGGGGAGGTCTTTTGTCCCCCCTCCCCCAAGGTATCCAGTTCATTCCATTTTTCCATGCTCAGGAGAGTTCCTTGAGATATGGGGTAAGAGGCACAGACCAATCCATCTGTGATTCAGCTGGCCGCACAAGGAGCCAGCCTCATTTCTGAGGTCATCTGTAGGGTAAGAAATCATATTTAGGAGCCAGACCCTTATGTGAGGTACTTGGTTAAACGGGAACTGCTTTGTTCTGGTTGTGTTGTGAGGCATTCAGCAAATAAAAAGCCACAAAGTCTCATGGAATTAGGTTGACATTTAATTACAAGGAACCCAGGTTCTTACACAAAGCAGGAGATGGGAGCCAGCCGCTCCCCACGAGCTTTTTCAGCCTGGGTGACTGAGGCTAAGGAGGTGGGGACACATGGAACATATGGGGGGGGTGGGGGTCCTGGCACAGTGTGTCCTGCCCAAAGCTGAGGGTGGTAGCCACTGGGGATCTGCCCTCTCGGCTGGCCCAGGTCTGCCATCACTCCATGAGGCAGAACTCTGACTCCTGCGGTCGCATGTTGGGTAACACATACAGAGCCACAGCTGCAATAGCCAAGAATACCATAGGCTTCCATAACCCAAACATGTTCTGTGGGGACCAAAGAAAAACTGTGAGTGCCCAGCCTTCTGAACCCTTCCCTAAGCCAGAAATCACCTGCCTACTGGTGCCTGAGAGACACCCCAGGAACATCATGGATCAGTCACTCTTATCTCCTGGGTGACCGGTAGAGATAATGGGCTCTCTTAGTCCTGGCACCATTAGACATGCAGCACAACACCATGTGCATCAGCTAGGTGACTGCCGGTATTCCTGCCTCCATTGCTGCCCACGGGATGAGGACGATACTAGCTCCTGGGTGTAGAAGCAAGCTGGGGGGCCAGACTTCAAAGATTCTCCAAATGGTTGTAATGAGAAAAGACTGAATGCCATAGCAGGAAAGAAGACGCTAAGTTTGGGCCTCTGGGGAAAGCAGCACCTCATTAGCTTTACAGAGGAGAAATGAACTCAAGAGTCAAGAGGATGGGAAGGGGGAACAAGCCCGAGGGGGATGTGAAGAACGGGCACCGTGGGATGCAGGGAAATAGGAGGTTCTTGGACAGCCAAACCTTTTGCATAGAAGGATGTCGGTTCAAGGAAATTCCAAGAAACCTGTCACTGGTCCTGGGTCACTAAAACACCCCAATCACCAGGTGTGCTCACTTCCTGGTGCATATGCTACAGTGTGTTGAGGCTTCTCGACACTGCTGACCACTAGCGAACTCTGCTGATTTGTGGGACAACAAATGATACCATGAGGGGATATCCAAAAAGCATCCTTTAGGGAATATGAAAATCTTAGACAAGAAAATACATACTTGGGGAAATAGTTCGTATTTTTATTATTTTTTAACTCTATGTATTACTTGAAAGGCAAAATTTGGATTTTGTTATAAGCTATGGCATAAGGTAACAGAAGGATGGTTTTAGGTAAAAATGGAGGCTAGTCCATTAATGCTAAGAAGACATTTGCTCAGAGAATAATTAATCTAGAAGAGGATTTTAAGTCAACCATAAAGACCAAAGAAAATCTCCTGAATTTGTGGAAATAGTTTCATAGAAGAACAGAAGATATAAAATGGAAAGAAAAACAATGTCAGAGGTGGATATACAGAATAGTTCATGTAAATAAATTGAGAAGGGAGCTAGAAAAAATATTCACATGCTCAAATGTTTATATCCTGATGTGCAATGCTAAAAATGTCACTCTGATGCTCTTAAAAAAGCAAAGAGCTCAAATCCACACATGGGAACTGGCGCACTTTACGTGTGGCAGAGGCAAGCTTCTAGACTGGATGAGGAAAGGGATGGTGTAGGTGTCCCAAAGGGTTAAGTCATGTCAGGCTTTCCTTTTAGACTGGGTTACCAAAGTGACAAATCAGAAAATCATGTTTTTGGACTTGAGTTGATAGACAAGATTTTCCATGATATCCTTACAGATAATATGCAGAAATAAGAGTAGGATGACAGCACAGTTAGATGTATGACTGCTTATTAAATGACCAATGAGCTGAATAAAAGAACCTGGAGAGACGATACTCTAGAGGCTTGGTCCTCACTTGTAACTCGGACGAAGACATGAAGGTAGGCTTTTCACTTCTGAGGATGATGTGCAGCTGGCAGGGGAAATGAACATTTTGAAACCACAGGGTCAAGATAAAAACACACACATACTAACACACACACACACACACACACACAAAACTTCACAGGTAAGAACAACAGACTATATCTAATAGGGAAGAATGGAAAATTCTGCATTTGGACCCATAAAAATCAAATGTAAGTACAGAATGGGGAGACGATGCTTAGTATATGTAATATGCACAAGGGTTTTATAAACAATAAATGAAATAAGTTAACAATATACATTAGTTACCAAAAGAGCTAATGTGATCTGAGGTTGCATAAACAGAAGTATGGTGTCTTTCTAATTCCTTGGAACTAACTATGGAAAATTGCTCAAAATCAGGAGAGATGACAAGGAGAAACAAGATTGGAATTTTATCTGTTGCTAATATTAAGTCTTTATAATCTGATTCACAATATCCTGGCTTTTACCTAACCTAGCTATGCCTTAGATTAATCATATATAAAGTGATAATAGTGCATAAAAATATGCCCTTCCTCATAGGGTTGTTGCAAGGATTAAATTAGTTAACATATGTACACTGATTAGAACAGTGCCTGGCACATAGGACACATTATGTAAGTATATGCTCTATTTATTATTTATGTGGTATTTTATTTAATTATTTTTATTTATTTATTTTTTTGAGACAAAGTCTCACTCTGTCACCCTGGATAGAGTGTGGTGGTGTCACTGTAGCTCATTGTAACCTCAAATTCCTGAGCTCAAGAGATCCTCCTGCCTCGGCCTCCCAAGTAGCCGGGACTATAGGCATATGCCATGACACCTGGCTAATTTTTCTATTTTTAGTAGAGATGGGTTTCACTCTTGCTCAGGCTGGTCTTGAACTCCTAAGCTCAAGCAATCCTCCCACCTCGGCTTTCCAGAGTGTTTTTTAGGATTACAAGCATGAGCCACCGTGCACAGCCTATTTATGTGGTATTTTATAATTTATTAAAGCACTTTCATATACATTAACTCATCTGATCCTCACAAAAACCCTGTGAGGAGGGCAGAGGTTTTATCACCCTTTGTTTACATTTGAAGACACTAAAGTTTAGATTATGCATTTTGCTCACTGGAACAAAGCCTGTAAGTAGACAAAGACTCAACCAAGTTCTTCTGACCACATGTCAGCCACACTTTCCACTATACCTATGCTGCCTCGTTTCCTGGGTGGGGAGTGGCATATCGGCGCCCACAAGAGCTCTGGAATAACAGGCTCCTCCAAAGGCCCTTTCACCAGCAGTTCTTCCCTCTCACTTTGATCAGGCCCAGCCGAATGCTCTGGGTCTCACTCATAGGGACTTAAGATGTCTGGGAGTGGACAGGGGAGGAACAGGTATGGGGAGAGGCCCTGGGCACCAGAGCAGTGAAAGACTGTCCACGGGGAGTAACTGGAATGCCTAAAAGAAGGAAGAAAGGAGAAGGGTTGAAGAGGAGGAAAAAAGCGGTGGTGGTGGGAGGACAGAAAAGGAAATGGTGAGAAGTGCCACCGACAAATGCCTCAGCTGTCACTCTAAACCTATGCATGAAAGTGACTACACTTCGTTTACAGGGATGTGAGAAAAGAAGAGACGATGGGGCAGGTGGCAGGAAGAGGATGAGAAAGGAGCCAGAACAGAATGAGAGAGAATAGCTTATGGGTTCCAGAAGGCAGGTGGGATCCTAGGGTTCTCCCTTAGGAATGAGACCACATTCTGCCTCCTGAATTCGGTATCCTGTTGACAGGCCAGAATACATGGGCAGGGGCCAGCTGGAAAGTGCCTGGAATGTATCAGTCTTGATTTCCTGAGAACACGTACATCTCTGGCTAGTAGAAACTTTTCACCAATATCTCATTCACTTCAGAAAACCTAGCTTGGAAAGCCAATTACAATGTAATCTGGCCCCAAAAGAGATAAACAGAGAACTAATAAAATATTTCCTGGCATTTTGTTTTGACTTTTCTGGGAACCAGAGGTCCTAAACCAGAGAACTTTTCAACAGAAAGTGCACAATGTGGTAGGGGTTCAACTCCATTTTCATCAAGGTTGAAGGGCTGATTGAGGTTGCCCTCATACAAATGTCCTTGGGAGGATTGTAAGGATCAGAACTCTTAAGACCTCGTCTCTCACCCAACAGGAGAGTTAGTGATTCCTTATTTTGCCATCCTGGGAAGCAACAATAGTGAGAACTTGGGTCTGCAGTTAAAGAAAGACAAAGAGAGCCCAGGCCAGTGTTGCAGACAAACATTGGCTCATCAGAAGGAGTCAGGCAGCTTTGACACTTGCAACAGTGCTGGGCTTATCCAAGTTATTCCCAGCCAAGGACATAAACTCAAACCATGTCTCTGGTAAGCATTCCAACTTCCTATGCATTATGAAGACATGCTCAGAGATGTTACAGGTTTTGCAGTGGCCCAAGGAAAAGTGAGGACTAAACTCAGGCCTGAGCATCACTCACTGTAAAATGGCAAAGGCAAGACGCAACCAGCTGAGAGAAAAGGGAAAGAGGAGAGGCCAGGACACCTGCACCCTCCCTCTGTCCCTCATAAGGAGAGGAAGCAATACCAGTACCTGTGTTAAGACGACGTCTCAGCCCACCAGCACCAGAGCAAAGCCGATATGACCACCAGGCCTACAAGAGGCAAGGAGAAGATGGGGGGGTTGGGGGTAGGGGGTGGCTGCAACACATCAAATGAGAAAGAAGCACAAGGAGGACCAGGAGATGAGAGACATAAACACATGAATCCAACAGATAATGAAGATGAGAAAACAAAGGGAAAAGAGAAAGGAATCAAGAGGTTAAAAAACAGGTAAGCTAGAGTAGTAACATTTCTTTTCTGCTGCCTGGACCTTGGTTCTTTCCACTGGCAGCCTGCAGAAATTGCAAAACTGAATGGGTTAAGCAGCAGCTAGGTCCAAATCAGGTGGCGAGTCCAGTTTTCTGTTTTGTCATATACCTCTCATATCTTGTCAAGCAGGATTTATCTGTATCTAGACCTTTCCTGTGGGTCAGTACTCGGGAAAAGTGAAGCTCCAGAGAGCAGATGGCATTCTTAGAGAAGTAGGGCGAATACTTTTCTTAGATCACTCTAGAAGAGCCAGTGTTCCGCCAGGCCACCTGTCCCTTTGTTAACTCCCTTGTTCTGTTCTGCTGTGCATCAAGTTTCTTAGTATTTTGGGCTCTGGTCCCTGTGATCCTCTAAGAGTCTAATGCTGCAGCTGTGAGAGAGAATGCACGAAAACAAGCTAACAATGGAAAGGGGCTAGTTCTTTCACTGCAACAATCTTCCAGACAGAAACTGAATTTGCATGCAGTAACATGCCCATAGAGCTACCTGCAAAAGATGTGGCAATGGGATATCTCTGTATGTAGACACAAAGAACGTACTCAACTTTGAGGTAGAAAAATCAGGACTGGCTTTAGAAATGTGGCACCCAAGGTAAAGTAACCTATGAGGCTCTCTGCACCAGCACGTGGTGGAATCTGATGAGTTTGAGGACTTTTAACAGTGGGGAAGGACCTGCAGTCGCTCCTGCTTTTTACATCCTAAGTAATGGTCTCCTGGCACAGGTTAGCAGAGAACCGCATGCTGGATCCTTAGCCAGTGCTGTGGACTGAACTGTGGAAATTCCAGATACCCTTACAGTTGACTGGGTAATCCCCCTACAAGAGACTTATTGTCTTTCCCTCAGAGGGACAGAAAGAACCTGTACTGTAAACTGAGGACTTAGGAAGTACTCAAACTCTTCAGGGAATCAGGTCCCCCAGTTAAAAGCCCATGGCAGAATTTAGCTGGTACATACCCATACAGATGTACCAGTTGTTAAAATATGGAACTACTTCTGTGCAGTCGGTAAACTACCCCTGCCATCCCGGCATACCCCCAGGACACCTCCACCTCAACCTCTCAAAGATCCAGCAACTAAAGGGTTAGGGGCTAGGGCTGGTCTCCCTGGACTAGCCAATACCTCTGCTGCGCAGACTGTCAAATATTTGACTATCGCTCCTGATCACTCCCAGCTCCATCATGTTCTGTGACATACAGAACCCAGTGGGTGACATGAGCCTACAAAGAAGAGATTATGCCCCTCCCCACACTCCTGACAGCAACAACAAAGGTTAAACCTAACAGGGCACCATAGGAAAACAGGACTGAGTGACTTGCCCAGGCCGAAAAACACCCTGAAGAAGGCCTCACATCGTCAATGTCCTTCGTGCAGTGCCAAGGAGAGTGAGGAAACCCTCTTGACGTAGGGAAGGTAACAAGGGCTACTATGTAAATGAAAGGAGACAGGATTCCAAAGAGCCCACCTTGGCTCCCAGAAAAGGTGGTCTTTGTGAGATGGCTCCACAACAAATTGGTCCCAGCCTGCCATTTCCCACAAAGACCGCTCTCTCCAACCCCTTCTCCACGTCCACCTCCCACGTGTCATGCCCCAGAGCCTGCTGGCCTCTACTCCTGCACATGTTCATTCTTGGCAGGGCCACCTGACACTGGGGTGCCTGAGCCCAAGCCCATTTCCCACTTAATCTAGCCTTTGGCTATGGTTACCTTTTTGCTCTCAGAAAGTTTGAGGGGGTTGTTTTCTTCAAGAGTGTCAGGGCAAGAATCGTCATCCTCCTCCTCTTCGTTGTCTTCTTCTGTATCTTCCTGGTCTTTGTACTCTTCATATTCTTCCTCCTGATTTTCCGTGGACTTAACTTTTCCAAGATCTGATGGCTCAGTAGCTAGTTCATCCCGGGACTTCTTTGTTCCCTCTTCTGTTCCTTCCTTTTTTCCCTTCTCCATCTCCTTTTTCTTTTCCTCTCCTTTCTTTTCCATCTCCTCTTTCTTTTCCTCCTCTTTTTCTAGCTCTTCCAACTCCCTCTGGCTGGCCTGGTAGTACAGTACCACCTCCAGACTCTGCGGGGTGGGGTAGGGCAGGATGGGGCTGCGGTTACCTGTGAAGACTCCTACTCTCATGACAAAACTACTCCCAGCATGTTACCGTGCAAGCATGCAGCACCGCGTTCTGAGACTGCGGGCCATTCTCCCTGAGCATGTAGGGACAGTCACACCTTGCCTCTCAGGACCGGTACTCTATTTGGCCGGTAAGCCCTGTCAGACAGCTCCCAGAGCTAAGGCTCTCGGGCCCCGCACCTTGACTGTTCCTTCTCTCACCTGTGGTGACTTCTCTTTACCCAATCCTCTTTCTCATATTAGTATACAACTACTTTGAATGAATTCCTCTCTTCTTATCTGTTTGGGTCCCTCTCTTGGGCATGTAACCCAGGAAGAACAGTGGCCCCGGAAAACGGAGCTGGGCGGATTGAAGCAGTCATTCAGCCCGAGGGGCTGTGGTCCTCTGGGGCTGCACCTCCAGCCGGGAGCTGTCTGTATTCCAACTCTCCTCACAGCTTCACGAGAAAGGGAGCATCAACTTTCCACTAAGATGAAACTACTGTAGACACTTTCGAGATCCCAGAAGCTTTTCTACAAATCCCTCACCTGGCTGAAAGGGTGGTGGAGACAATGTTTCTTCCCAGGATCTCCTCCACCTTTCTGCTTATCTGGCTTCTAAGGTTACCACTCACCTTTCCAGCCTCAAGGCTGCCCTCAGAACTGTCCGAGCATGGCTTGGTCACCTTTTTCATTTTAACCCCGTTGGCATTCTTGTTCATATTCTTATGAACATTCTTCCCCCGGGGTTCTTTGGCAGCAGAGGGCTTCTTCTCCTTGAGCTGGCGGAGCTCTTCCTGGCAGCACTGCAGCTGCCCCTCTAGCTGCTCCTGCACTGCCAGGAGCCGCCCCTGCTCGTCCATGCTAGCCTGGTACTGCAGCTGCAGCTCCCGCAGCCTGGTCTGCAGCTCTTTGATCTGTGGGCAGTGGAGGGCCAGTTACCCAGAGCTGGGCCCACGCCACCAGCCTGGGCCCTGCTTGGGGGTCACTGCCTCAGAAATCTCCCTGCTAGAGCCCATGGGAAGCAGACAATAAAGAAATAAATCATCAAACTGTGGAAACTGAGCCTCTTAAACAGTTTTACAAGTAACTCCCTAACTTGAGGTACCTGATGATTTACATCTAACAGGATCAAAAAAATGATAATTTGTTATGTTTTTTTACTGTGATGTGTCTCGGGAACAACTATAGGGCTGCCACCACTTCTGAACCTCAGGGATTCATTATATGATTCTTTTTATGGGAACTCCTACTTCATCCAACCCATTTCCCTAATGGGGACAATTACTTAAGGAACTGTGTCGCATACTCCTGAGTGTGCTGGGCTCCTGCACCTCCCCCTGGAAGCAGAGGCACGCTACAACCCTGTGCCCTAATGTCTGGTTTTGTCTTCTTGGCTGATGGCAGCACAGCACGAACCCCTCAGTGCTTTAGTAGGTACCAATACTGGTCCACCTAGGCCCACGTGTTCACTGCTCTCTGAATCTCTCCCCATGCACACACAGCGACCCCCACTGCCCTGTGAGCTACTCCTGGCCAGAGACAACGCCTTCTGTCCTACTCCCAGTGGATGCAGAGCACTCTTCTTGGCACTACAAGAGAACCAAAAAAGGAGACATGGCCCTGTCCTTGAGGTGCTTACAATCTAGCTGGGGAGACAAGACAGATACACACAAAATAACAAAAGAAAATTGGCGAGTGAAAATATACAGCTCTACAGGAGTCCTTTAGGACACAAAGCAAAAGAGAGAAGTGAAGTGGCAAAGGCAAAGAGAGAAAACTTATTCAAAGAGAAGAGTCTTGACGACTGTAAATCCCAGCACCACGGGCACCTGGGAAATGTACTCCAGCCTAAGAAATGTCCATCAGTGATGGAGCAGACTGCCCGGCCTCCTAGGAGATTCACTCTCTCTCCTCTGTCCCTCTCTCTTTAGCCTCTCTGAAATGGCCATGAGCTCCTCTGGCTCTAGGGGCTCCCAGAGGAGAGCGTGCATCCCCAACAGCAGTTACCTCATTCTTGTCATTCTGGGGGGCTGTGGGCTTCTCGAGGCAATCCATGCACTCCTTGAATTCCTTTTCGCAGGCGTCCAGCTCTACCTTCAGCTTTTTCTGTTTATCTAATAACTTCTGCATCTGCTCTTGCAGCTGGCTGTGCTCCTCCTGGCTCACCTGGTACATGGCCTGCACTGCCTGCAGCTTGGTCAACACCTTGGCAACCGTTTCCTCAAAGTGCTGTGGGGGCGGGGAAGCAATGATGGCATCTCGAGAAGCACCTGACCTCTACCCCACTATCTTGGCTGGGCCCTTCCCAGGATACCAAACAATGGCCACAAGGATCTGGAGCTGCCTAGGGGGAATACTGTATTTCTCCCTAAAAAGAGCACCGTGACTGTGTTAATGAATAGTGCTGAATCTGAGGCCTGCATCCAGATGGGGGCACTCCACATGAGAGGGGCTGAGGGGAGACAGGGCTGCCATGGGGAGAGGGCCTGGCTTACTTCCAGGGGCTCCCCAGGTCAGCTCTGACCCCATTCCCGCCTCGCTTCTTGTGCTCTTCCCCTGGTGATTTCTCTCTTAAAGAGACAAAAGCCCATCTTCCCCTGCCTGACCTGTCATCTGGTGACTGTTACCTCCATGTCTTCAGGCTCAGCGGGCTCATCATCAGTGCTGCTACTGACATAACTCTTGTGACAAACGTCAGAGCCACTGGTGCTGCCATAACTCTTCTTATAGGTAATGCTGCTGCAGCTGCTGCGGTAACTCTTTTCATAGGCCTCGCTGGCACTGGTGCTGCTGTCATAGCTCTTGAGAAAGCTCTCGTTGCTTTCCTGCGTGCTGGTGTTGCTGGCGCTGCTGGCGTAACTCTTGTGATAGCTCTCGTTGTCGCTGCTGGGGGCAATGCTACCATAGCTCTTCTTGTAGGACTCGAGGCTCATTTTTATAGATGGGGACTGGAGTTGGAGTAGTTGCATTTCTTCCAGACAGAGCTGCAAGTCTGCCTGCAGCCTCTTCCGCTCCTCTAGGAGCCTCCCCTGCTCCTGCTGCAATAGCTCCTGCTCTGCCTGACTGTTGTCGTACAGCACCTGCAGTGCCTGCATCTGTTCGATGAGCAACTTGGACTGCTGAGGGTAGGGGTAGGGAGACATTATCGTTATTCTAAGACATTTCAGTCCTTCTAGCTGCACCTCTCCTGGTGCAGCTGTCTGAGAGCACACCTGAGAGAACCACACACCTACACTTCAGCCTCACCACAGCCTATGTCTTTGACTTAGCCTATAGATAAGTGGCATGTGTCAGTTTCTTGCTCATTGGGGAAAATCTCCCCAGGGGATTTGATTTCCAGGCTCCCATTTCTGCTGATTTCTGTACTCTGGTACATCCCTCTCCTTGGAGCAGTGCTGAGTGGGTTTTAAGAACACCCTCGCTCCCTACCCTACCCTCTTCTCAGTCAGATGTACCCATTATCCTGACCATTAGGCTCAATCCCCTTCCCCATTCCTGGTTCTAAGATCAGTCCTACCCCTGAATGTGGCCATATGAAGAATTCTTTCCTTGGAAGATAAGAACTTGGAATTAAGGTCTTACTACCAGTCCCTGAATCTCCTGTCCCAATTCTGAATCTGGCCTCTGGGCCTGGCTTCTTGGCTGCTGATGTCCAGGATGAGATCTGATCAGTTGAGGAAATATTTTATACCTGGTTCCCAGTCTCTGTTACCCAGGCTTTCAGCCTGAATATCTGATGCCCCTGCAATATGATCAATTCTCACAATTTGGACTTCTATTCCCTGGTTCTCCTTGTTCAGGCTATGATCTGAATGAACAGATTCAGCATAAACTAAAACCATCCATCTGCTCTTCCTTGCCCACACTAAGACCTCAGACCAAATTTATCCCCCAGCCCTAAACAGGCTAGAAATCTCTACCTCTGACACCTCATCTGCATAAGCCCTTGCTGGTGTTTAAGAGGCTGTTGATTTTCTGGTATAATCCCCCCGACCTGGCTCTGTTATTGCCACCAAAGTTCCAATGAAAACAGTGTGATCAGTACCAAGAACCCTATATGCTAGGAATTCTTCCCTTAGAAGTGGATGGGCTCATTTGCCTAATATAGAAAACCAAAAGATTACAGATTTTGATAAACGAGAAGTATACTTTTCCACTCAAAAGAAAAGGATGACACGTTTAGAGTCAGTCTAAAGGAATCAAAACCAACATTAAATTGATATTATACATCCTGAATATGATATGTTCAAGGGATCGAGTCCAATGATGAGGTTATAGACTTCTGGGTCATCCCAGCTCTAAGTGTTCACTGTGCTTCACTTGGGCATGCATTTGGGCGAGGTCCTCAAGCTGTATCTGAAGCACATCTTAATGAAGCTTGTGTGTGGTCATGGCTAGTGAAGGGCAGGGCTTTAGCCTTATCCTTACTCCTGGCCAAACAGGCCTTCCTTACTCTGACCCTGCTGTGAGCCCTGTTTCCCCATGATGCTGTTGTGCTCAGGAGAACTGTATCCCTACTTCTTGCTATGGTTACCTTGTTCTCATCAGATTTTGAGGGCTTTTGAGCACTTTTGGAATTCTTGGGATTCTCCAACACTTCCTGGAAACAAGACTCTTTAAAACGTCGCAGCTCTTCGTGTGCCTCTAATTGTTCTTTTACTACACATTCTTGGTTCTGTACCAGTTTCTTCTGTTCATCCTGCATGCCTTGGTAGAGCAGCTGCAGTTCACATAGGTCTTGTAACTTTGTAAGTAGCTCCTGACTCTGCGAGGTGGCATGGAGGAAGGAGGCAAGGGATTGTGGTGGTTAAACAGAAAGACCCTGCCTCCTGCCGTGCCTCACTCCTGCTGGGAACAAGTCCCTAAAGAACCTCTGGGTTGGCTTTGCACAGTCCTTCTGGGGAGGAGAGGGAGGGGACAAGGGGGAGGGGGAGGTCTCTTTCTCTGGAGACCTACTACTTAAGTGGTAACGACCTCTTATATTTGGATGTATCTTCTAGTTTAAAAGTGCTAACAGGTGCATTTTCTCTAGATGGACTAAATATCTAAATATAAAATGCTGCACAGATTCCAGAGTATAAAATGTATTTGAAGATTTTTTAAAGCCCTTATAAGAAAAACCCTAACTGGCTCTATAGAGCTTTTAGGTTTGGGGAGTTGGTAAGAAAGTAAGGAGTGGCTGGTTAGGAAAAGACAAAGTTCAATCCCCACCCTTTTATTTGTCCCCAGTATAGTCACACTGGGAAGCTCCTCAGAGAAGCTTCCCCAGTTAGCAGCCACCCCTGGCTGGGGTTACCTTATGGAAGAGACCACATTTGGGCATCGGGAACGTGAGCTTGTGCAGCTCTTCTTGCAGCTGGCCCTGCTCCTCCTGCAACCTCCTCTGATCCTCCAGGAGCTCACACTGCTCCATCTGCAGCTGCCCCATCTCCTTCTGGCTGGCCTGGTACTTCTCCTGCAATTCTGTCAGTCTGGACAGCAGTGTGTCACACTGTGGGTGGGGGCGGGGTGTGGAGGGGGTGGTTATTCTGTAAGGAAAGCTTCCTAGGTAGCTAACAGAGCACTTCTGCACTCTCTTGCCTCTTATGATTCACCAAGGTGTCTCTCGGTGGCCTTGGACTGATCACCCCAAGCCACACTGCCCAGGCAGACCAGCGCTAGATGCTGAAAGGGGAAGCCCAGCGGGCTGCTCTTTCAGAGCAGTTGCTCTGGACTGTTGTTGGCCATGCTCTAAATTTCTACTCCCATTCCCTTCTGAGGGCAGTTCGAGAGGGAGTGCTGTCAATGCCCCTCCCTTTGCACTTCCCACCTCCTTTTCTCTGGGCCTTTCCTTTGGCACACCGTTTTCCTATCCTGCTGGTAACTCCTGTTACTCTCATTAACCTCGGTTGTTTTTGGACCTAATTGTGCTCCTTACCAATAACAACTTAATTTCATCCTAATTTTTCCCATTTTTGTTACCCTAATCATCTCTTAAAATCTTTAGAAAAGTATGAGCTATTGCTGAGTGTGGGTTGAGAAGACTAAATCATCCCATGATCCCCAAAACCCAAATCTTCTAATAGCAGATGAATCTCAACGCTGTTTTATGACTAGAGAGAAAGCCGGCTCTGTACACCAGCTTGCTTCTCCTTTCTCAGAGCTGCTTCCACTGGGAGAAGAGGTGATGAGAAAGTCATGGATCCTCGAGATCCCCAAATTTAGTGGGAGTGGAGGAAGGGGGAAATGTGAGCCTGGGCACAGAAAAGCAAGTAGACTGTTGAGGTGACCCAAATAACCTTCCCAATCTTCTATCTGCTGAAGGCCTTTCCCTAGAGACACACAGCTGTTGGCCGTGGCAGGAACTACTGAGTATTCCAGCAGCAGGTGACCAGTTCCACCATCTTTTGAGACTCTTACGCCTTTTCTCCAACATGCTTCAACACCTTTCCACTTCCTATCAGTAATCAGGAGCTGAAAGTGCTCAACAGGGTATATGACAACAGTTTGTGTTTTACATACTATGTAAAAAGAAAAAGGAATAAGGCCTTATTTATCACTACCAGGATTTATTACTAAAAGGAAATGAGGTAAGAGTAGTATCTGTTCAATTTAAAGATGGTGCAATTCCAGCTTCGAGGATTTAACTACTCCAAAGTCACAGAATATATCCTGGAAAAGCTGATGTCCTTCTACTACTCAATCAGCACTCTGGGCATGAGACCTTATATCCTTATAAGAGCATTTGCTATCTGCCACAGAAAAATGGCCCCTCTCTCCCATCCAAGTACTAAGTAGGCCTGACCCTGCTTAGCTTCCAAGATCAGATGAGATCGGGTGCGTTCAGGGTGGTATGGCCGTAGATCCCTCTCTCAAGTTCTAACAATAATAGTTGTGTATATGGGCCTATGTGTATGTTCTTCTCCACAAATGAGTAGTTCTATACCAATGTATAAATGTCCACACATATGGAATCATGTGTAAAACCTTCAGGTGTTCAGACTGGGATCCAGATGTTCTGATCCTACTAAGCTATGGCTCTGGCTCAAACTCAAGGTCAGGGCAAACTGTTTTAAAGTTAATAGCATGTGGTTTGCCTCTACTTCCTGCCTAAGAAGCCCATTAAGCCCTTCGGTTAGGTGACTTCATCTTTTGCCTCTGTACCACCTCTCTCCGGATCAAGTGCCCAGGAGCTCTCACCTCTCTGAATTACAATTACCTTATCAGCACATTTCCCCTTGTCCTCCGGAAGGGACTGGGTGGTCTTGAGCTGTTTCAGCTCCATCTGGCTGAGCAGGAGGTCCTGCTGGAGCTGGTCATACATGTGCTTCTGCTGCTCCAGCTCCTCCTTGCTGGCCTGGTACTGCCGCTTCATCTCCTGAAGCTGGGCACGCATCTCTGCATTCTGGGCAGGGGAGGCAGGCCCAGCTGTCACCCCAGGTGCCCCTGCTGCTGCATTCTCTTCTCCCAGACAGGGGCTAAGGGGATCCATTTTCCCCTGTCCTTCCCAGCCCCAATTTCATCCCAGACAGATTTACCCAAGATAGATCCATCCCCAACAGGCTCGGAACACAGATCTTCTCGGGGTTCATTTTTTGAGAGGTGGGTAGGGGAAAGGACTTCCCTTTTATAGGCTGCTTTTCTGATTTAAAATAAAAGGAAGCTGAGAGCACGGTATCTCCCTGAGATCACCTTTCTCCTAAGCACCTCTTTGGCCCCTTACCACCAGCCCTTCCAAAGAACTCCTACCATTCCCACTCCTCCTCTGTGCACTCAGCTGCACAGAATATTCTGCCTGGCTACATTCTCCCTCACCTGGGGCATCTTTTACCTTCTCTTTGCTCTCTTGGAAGCAGGCCACCATGGCCCTAAAGTGCTGCAGCTCTGCCTCATGGCACTGCAGCTTCTCCTGCAGCTGCCGCTGCACTTCCAGCAGCTTTTCCTTCTCGCACATGATGTTCTGGTACTGGAGCTGCATCTTCTGCAGCCGGCACAGTAATTCCTACAGTGGAGGGGGCTTTGGGCAGTGCCTCTGGATTCCTTAGCCCACTCAGTCTTCTGCCTGAATCACTGTCAGACACCGACAGTCTAAGAATTTACTTCTCCCTGCCCTTCACTTACCGGTTGTCCTCTCATCTAATGCAGTACTTGAGGGGAGTTGGAGTTCTCAATCTGTGGTGCTGCCTATGTAGTAGCTGGAGTTATCTAACTTGCTAGTCTTATTCACCTTCCCCCAAAACCTCAGACAGATGCTCTCAGCGCCTAAGTTGTCCCCTCACCTCTGGTTGTTGTTACCTTCTCACTTTGGTTTTCTATGACTGTGGATTTTGTGACTTTGAGCTGCCGGAGCTCAGTCTGAAGTTGTAGTTGCACCTTCAAGAGCTCATTCTGCTCATCCTGGCTAGCATCATACTTTTTCTGCAGGGTACAGAGTTTGGTCTTCAGCTCCTCGTTCTGTGGTGGGGAGGATGTGAGTAGAACAGTTACTCTCAAGAAACAGAATATCCCTCTACAGATCAGCCTGGTTCCTTTTCAGAAGCAGACATCTTGTGGATTACGGTCTATGGTTTGGTTTCTTCTGTGAGACGCACACTCAGTAATGGTTACTGTTTCTAGAATGCAGTGCTATATGACTTCTAAATTGGTTTCCAGTAGACTGTGCCCCTGGTTGTAGAGTAAGAGTCAGCAGAGCATCCCCCCGGGAGCAGTGCCTCCACGAGGCCTTCGGCCCTCCCCACGTGCCTCCCCCAGCAGGATTTACCTGGATGACGCTGTGGGAAGTCTGAAACCGAAGCACCTCATTCTGGGCGCACTTGAGCTCCCTCTGCAGCCGCCTCTGCTCCTCCTCACTGACCTGGCGATGATGCTGTAGCTCTTGCAACTCACAACACAGTTTCTTACACTGTGTGGGAAATGGAACAGGAAGGCTGACTTACTACAGGTATCACATGCGCTCCAAGAACAGGCTTGGGGAAAGTATGGCATTCCTTTGTTTGGAATATTACATCAGGCAAACAAGCAAGCCCCACGAGTACTATCTCCTATCACAGGGCAGGCCTCCTCTGTCAGCTCTGTGCCTAAGGAGATGTTTCTACCACAGGCCAGGACAAGGTGCAGGAGAGACAAAGAAAGGTGCTTCGCTCTATCTCCTACCTTGCTCTGCATGTCATGCATCTGCTCTTCGGCTCCCAGGAGCTGCTGTCGCAACAACTGCATTTCAGGATCAGGCTCTAGGAAATCCATTTCTGAAGTCTGAGACTCTGCTGACATCATACTCCTTAGTGTTTGGGACTCCAGCCACTTCTCTGTTGCTCTTCGTGTCCTGTAATCCGGAACACCAGAGCCATGCTGAGAAGGAGCTCTGCCTGGTATTACCAACCAAGTGTGCTCAGTCCTGATGCCTTCATTTTAGGCCAAAGATAGTAAGGGGCCTTTTATTGCGATTCACCTCTCAAATAAACATGTTTAGAAGATCGCAGAAAAAGTCTCCAGTACCTCAGTCTGCAAAGGTGTGTTTGGCTCTGAGAGACCCTAAGAGTGCCAGTCCAGTTGGTTTTGAGGCTGGGCCTGGCATCAAGCCAGCTCCAATCTGGAAGCACTGTGCCATTACACTGAATCAAATCTGTGCGGACAACAAAGGAATCTCTTCTGAACTACTCTAGTGCAGAGCAAACCAGATGCCAATGCCTAGCATGGGAGAAAATTAAACTTTAGAACTCACTCACTGTAGTTCTAAGACAACTAGATCGGATGCCCACGTCTGCTTCTAGGCAGTATCTGTATCCTCTGGATACCATGAAAAGGACTGGGCCTCCGGGAGCAGAGGAACACTCTTTACCCTGGCATCTGCCTTCAGAGGAAAGTCCAACGCAAGGAAACGTCCTACGGAGCCCCATTTAGCATCCTGGCTGTACCTGTCGCTCTCCAGATCTGCAAGCTGCCCTGTGAGGCTACTGTTGCTTTCCTGCAGGGCCTGGTACTCCTCATTCAGGAATTGGTAGCGTTCTCGAAGTTCCTGCAATTCTTCTGCAGAAGACAAGCAGAGAGAGATGAGACCCTCAGAAGGAAAACAATGATGACAAGCCCCCAATTTTTATCTAGAAACCTGAGAGCAGAAGGCTGAATAGCTTCTCTTTTTCTGAAGACAGAAAAGAGATACCATATGCAGAGGCTTAGAATACAGGGCCCAGAAAATTCCACAGTGCAACAAGTCTTTGTCCTCTTTCAGATTGCTGTCCTTCTTCTCATCTGCCCAGATTTGCCCTGGGTGCTCATCTTCAAAGCCTCAACCAAAGCAGGGTCTTGAGCTTTTGAGGGTTTAATTAACTTTTTGGTTTACTGTATTTAAAGTTTTCATTTAACTGTTTATGATTACCTTCCTGTTATGCTTTTAGTACAAAAAGCTGAGAGATGTGAACTATCAGATGTCACACTGCCAGTTCCTGCCTTTTAGGAACAACCCAGGCATTTTGAGTTTCCTTTTACTTCCTTTATCATCACATGGAAAACATTGGCCTGGATGTGGTCAAGAATTCTAATGGTCTTTTATCTGCTGATAGAAAAGTCTGTTCTAACCAGATCCACATATTATCCTCACGCATTAGAAGAGATCTGGCTGAAATGCCCCAGCATATGTCCCTAAGCACCAATCACCAACACTTTTTGATGCTCTGATGATACAAACACCCATATCTGTTTTGTTTCTTTATGATTAAGAATCACATCTCTTAGAATACTAGTTCTACTGATATTTGAGGAACGTTAACTTGCTCTGATTAGAACACAAGACCTATCTTACCTGCTGGAAGATTCAACACCCTGAAAGTGACTTCTAATGTTTCCTCTTAATTCTAAGCAGAACTCCTTAGAATACTGCAGATTACCATATAAGGAAGGAAGGAAACTAATCTTTAATGAAAACTAACCATGCGCTAAGCATTAGACTTGACGGTTTCAGCCTCAGATTTCGTTAGTGTGCAAGTATGCTTCACATTTCATTTAATCCCGAAAATAGCCCTGTAAGTTTTTTTTCTTTAAATAAACTTTTAATTTTAGAATAGTTTTAGATTTAACAAAAGTTACAAAGATAGTAGAGAGTTCCCTGGAAGAGTTCTTATCCAGTTTCCCCAATTGTTAACATCTTATATTACAACAGGTGCACCTATCACGAGTAAGAAATCAACTTTGATACATTATTATTAAATAAACTCCACAGTTCTCTACATTTTCCCTAAGATCCTTTTCCTGTACTAGGATCCTATCTATCTGTAAGATTTTACTAATTTTCATTCAATACTCCAGATATGGAAAGTGAGACTAAGTTTATCTTGCCAATTAGTGAGCTGAGATCCTGAACTTAGGTCTGTTTTGCTCCAGGCAAGCCTTCCCACTGTGCTAGCCTCCTCCTTCTAGCACCACCAGTTCAAAGGCTCTTCTGAGAGGCTAGACACAGCTGGCAAAACTTGCAGTTCTTTGATTCCTTGTTGATTGCCTCTGCTTGACCTGGCCAAATATAGGGCCTCCATTATACTCAGATCATAAATCTAGCCTCAGAATAAAGGCAAATTCTCTGATGTCATGAATCCTAGCAACTAGCCGGGAGACTCACTGTCTGAAAGCAGGGCTCTAAGCTTTTGAATACCTCATGTATTACCAGGAATAACCTCTCTTCTTCTCCAGCTGTCTTGTGTTCTGATTTGTTGCCTCCTAAAGCTTCTACTTTGGGGAGGGCTAAAGAAGCCTAGGAATTAGCATCTGGGACCTGGGAAGCAGGACCAGAGGCTCCCCATAAAGTGGGTCCAGGCAAAGTGCCATGATACCAGAGAAGCAGGAAGAGTTTCCCAAGGTGACAGGTCCCTCTACACCCATCCCAGAACTGGAAACTTTCCCAGGAAGGGTTTTCTCCCAGTCAAATCAACAAAGACCCAATGGCTTTCTGAAGAATTCCCAGAGTACATCTCCATGGTGCTATTTCTTACACTACCATTACTGGTTATATAACATCTGGGTAAGTTTTTCTCCCTTACAGTCTCGAATTCAATATGCAGGTTTTTTCTAGAGGTTCCCAGTTCATGGTCTAATACCACCTTTTACCATTTTCCTATATATTAACTCCTCTCCTCTGCTTGACTTAGTACTGACAGACAAGGAGGAGGGCTTGTTCTCATACCTTGCAACCCAGAGAAATCTGAGAGACTTAAACTATTGGATTGTTCAGACATTTTCATTTCCATTTCTGCACGGAGGGAGGTGATCTCCATCTCGTAATCTCCCCGAATGCGATCCATGTCATCGAGTTCCTTCTGCATCCGGCAGAGATCCTCCTGCAGGGATGCTATGTCACTCTCATGTTCAGTTGCGGAATCCTCGGCTGCTTGCCGCAGAGTCAGGATCTCAGCCTGGGCCAAATGCAATTCCCGTTCTATTTCCTTAAGTTCACTTTCTTTCTCGCGCTCTAACAAGGAAATCTCCTCCCGCAGAGACCGCAGCTCACCTGCAAAGCCCAAAGGTTGAGACGGTCAAGAGAAGTGAAATAATCTACTGTGTTCTGGTGGCACAAAGGTAAAGGTAGGCTTATTGTCTGGAAACTCCTGACAACCTAGTCTCTATCCCATCAGGGAAGTATAGCATGATGTAGTATGAAATAAATGGAGTACCTAAGAAGGGAACAGAGAGTGACTCCATGTAGTAAGGTGCAGTAGAAAAGTAGATTTTGAGGCAACAACTTAGTCTACTGTAAACAAAAAGTATTAAGTGCTTCTAAGGAATCG